TTGACAAAGATAAAACAATGCCAATTATTGTCAATTATTGCCAAGCTTCAAGGAGACTGGGAAAACAGCACTATATTATATATAGGTTGGACTATGAATTGTTACAGTTTTCCAGAGGGGGGTTTAATAATACCTATAAAAAGCAAACCTAAATATCTACTCTTTGAACTAGTAAAATAGCTTCTAGGAATTTATATTAGCTCCCAAAAGCAGTTTATAAAAATATGTTCATTGATTACATTGTTCTTTATGTTGGGGATAATCGGACCAAAAAAGATACATCAAGAAAGCACTAGTTAAGGGCACCTGAGTGGCTCAGTTAAGTCTCAGACTCTTAATTTCACCTCAGGTCATGATCTCAGGGCCATGAGATCAATGCCCACATTGGGCACCTTGGTCGGTGGGGAATCTGCTTCAGATTCTTTCTCTCTCCTTCTCCCATCTGCCCCTCCCCCCAACTTTCTGACAAATCTTAAAAAAAAAAGGACTGATTAAATAAGATAAACTATCACATAAGAATAATAAACAACCAGTAGTGCCTGGGTGGTTCAGTCAGTTAAGCATCTGCCTTCAAGCTCAGGTCATGATCCAAAGGTCCTGAGAGTGAGCCCCACATCAGGCTTCCTGCTCAGCAGGGAGTATGCTTCTCCCTTTGTTCCTCATCCTGCTCATGCTTGCTCTTGCTAGCTCATACTCTCTCTCAAATAAATTTTTTTTAAAAGGAAGAGTGGGGGGATCCTTGGGTGGCTCAGTGGTTTAGCGCCTGTCTTTGGCCCGGGACGTGATCCTGGAGTCCTGGGATTGAGTCCCTCGTCAGGCTCCCAGCATGGAGCCTGCTTCTCCCTCTGCCTTGTGCCTCTGCCCGCCCCCCTCTCTCAGTCTATCATGAATAAATAAGTAAAATCTTTTTTAAAAAAGTTTAAAATTTTAAAAAAAGGAATAGTGTAGAACCATTAAGAAGTAATAAACTTATTGACCTGAAACACTGCCCAATATAGAACTGAAAAAGCTACATTTAGGTGCAAAATGATTGAATTTATTTTGTACTTATGTTAAGAAATCCAATATGTACAGAAGAATAACGATTTTCTGAAGGTGTTATAGTTCCATTATCTTCTTGAAGCTTTTTAGTTTCAAATTCTTAAAATAGTAGCGGGTATTACATTTCTAACATACTTATTTCCATGTGACCAAGTGGAGGAAGATCAAGACCCTACTAGAATTTTTTTTTTAATTTTTAATTTTTTATTTATTTATGATAGTCACAGAGAGAGAGAGAGAGAGAGAGAGAGAGAGAGAGAGAGAGAGAGAGATAGAGGCAGAGACATAGGCAGAGGGAGAAGCAGGCTCCATGCACCGGGAGCCCGATGTGGGATTCGATCCCGGGTCTCCAGGATCGCGCCCTGGGCTAAAGGCAGGCGCCAAACCGCTGCGCCACCCAGGGATCCCCCTACTAGAAATTAAGAAAAAACTTTGTTGGCTGTGAAATTTCAAAGTCTGTCATAATTAGGCAACATTAGGTGCTATACTAAGCCCTTCCTTTCCCTCTTCTCAATCCCTCTTCTTTATTCATATTTCATCCTGAAGAATTAACTTCAAATATTTTCAGTAAAGACAGTGCACATTTTAGGAAATTCATCAAGATGATTTTATCAATTATCCACACAAAGACCAACAATAGAGCAGCCACGTTGATATTTTTTTAAGGTATGAATAAAACTGAACTCTTTATGAATGTTTGAAGAATATTATAAAAAAAAATGAAAAAGGCCAAAAAACACAATGCAAACTCCATAGCATAATCAAATTGCAGGCTAACATATAGTAAGAGATAATAACGGTAATCTAAACACAATATACAATATACATATTGCACAGGGGCTGTTCTACATTATAAATTATCAAGAGGCACCAGAGCACAAGTGGTTAAGGACAAAGACTGAATTTATACCACCTCTGAAGCCTTCCATCTGCCACTCACTGCCCATAACCTTAGAAAATATTTAATCTCTTCTTACCTCAGTCTCCTCATATCTAAACTGAGAGCAACAACAGTAATTACTTCAAAGAACTTTTTTAAGAATTAAATTAGTTGGGATCCCTGGGTGGCGCAGTGGTTTAGCACCTGCCTTTGGCCCAGGGCCCGATCCTGGAGACCCGGGATCGAATCCCACGTCAGGCTCCCTGCAAGGAGCCTGCTTCTCTCTCTGCCTCTCTGTGTCACTCATGAATAAATAAAATCTTTAATGATTAAATAAAACTTTCACAGTATGAATGAATGAATGAATGAATGAATGAATGAAGAGGGAGACCTAGCTGACTCAGTCAGTATAGCATGCAAATCTTGATCTCAGGGTTGTGAGTTCAAGGCTCACATTGGGCACAGAGCTGGCTTAATATAAATAAGTAATTTTTTAAAAATAAAAAATAGGGCAGCCCCAGTGGCGCAGCGGTTTAGTGCCACCTGCAGCCCAGGGTATGATCCTGGAGACCCGGGATCGAGTCCCACATCAGGCTCCTTGCATGGAGCCTGCTTCTCCCTCTGCCTGTGTCTCTGCCTCTCTCTCTCTCTCTCTCTCTCTCTCTCTCTCTCTCTCTCTCTCTCTGTCTCTCATGAATAAATAAATAAAATATTTTTTAAAAATAAAATAAAAATAAAAAATAGAATTTAAAACAAAGAAAAACCCGAATAGTTAAGCATATGAAAAGATGCAAAAAGAAAAGCAAACTAAAACACAGTAGGATACAACTCATCTATTAGATTAGCAAAAATTCAAAAGTTTGTTAACACCTTCTCAGCAAGGCTACTGAGAAGGCAGATGCTCTAACAATGATGATGAAGACACAACCCCTATGGAGGGCAATTTGGCAATATTTATCGAAATTACCAATACTTAGGCATCTGGATGGCCACTCAGTTAAGCGGCTACCTTCGGCTCAGGTCATGATCCCAGGGTCCTGGGATAGAGTCCCACATCAGGTCCCTTGCTCAGTGGGGAAAGTGCTTCTCCCTCTACCCTCCCCCTTTCCCCCACTCATGGTCTCTGTCACGCTTACACTCTCTCTCAAATAAAAATATTTTAAAAACAAAAAACAAAACACAAAATCACCAATACTTCTATTATATAGCCTTTGATCTACCCTCTCATATGATTTTTGGGAATTTTTCCTACAAATATAATTATGCATGTACAAAATGACATTTTGTTCAAAGATTTATCACTGCAGTACAATTTAAAATAGCCAAAGACTAGAAATAACCCAAGTATCTATACAAGCTTGGTTAAATAAACTAAAAGAATATTCTTATGGTCAAATATAGAAGATCTTTAGCATAAAGGGAGTTTAAAAAGCAAGGTACACAAACATGCAACAAAGATGTCAACAGGGGGAAAAATTTGGTATAGGGTGTAAGGGAACCCTCTATAATCTTTCTAATATTATTGTAAATCTAAAACTGCTCTAAAATAAAAAGCTCAGGGCACCTGGGTGGCGTCAGTTAGGCATCTGCCTTTGGCTTGTGACCCTGGGGTCCTGAGATCAAGCCCTGAGTCGGGTTCCCTGTTCAGCAGGGAGTCTGCTTCTCCTTCTCCCTCTGTCCCTCCCCAACACTCATGCTAATATAAGTAAATAAAATCTTAAAAAGCTCATTTAAAAAATAAGGCATTGAGAGTATATAGTTTACTGAATTATGTGTAAGAAAGGTGAATGAAACTACAGATCTACTTGCTTATACTTTCATAAATACTAGAAGAATTCACTAGAAACTATTAATAATAGTGGGACGCCTGGTTGGCTCAGCGGTTGAGCGTCTGCCTTTGGCTCAGGGGATGATCCCGGATTCCCAGGATTTGAGTCCCACATCGGGCTCCTTGCATGGAGCCTGCTTCTCCCTCTACCTGTGTCTTTGCCCCCCCTCTCTGTGTGTCTCTCATGAATAAATAAATAAAATCTTAAAAAAAAAAAGACACTAATAATAGTGATTACGTATTTGGAGAAGGAACAAGGAAAGAAAAAAAGGAGCAAGATATCTATATCTCAATGTAAAAATTTTTTTAACTTGTTAAAGATGGTCTTTTCAAAAAACTGGGTAATTTTTAAAAAGCAGCTCCACAAGAATTATCTCCTTCTCTAATGAAACCCAAGGGAAGTTTCTGGCACAGTATTTACATACCAGAAGATTATGGGTTTAACTACTATTAAACCTCCAAACACAAATTTTAACCTCTATGGTATGTGCTTTCCATAATTAAAAACCAAAATATTTTAATTTTTAATGAAGATAAATAGAAAAATAGCTTTTATAGACACTTGTTCTTTATACAATTTTTCAGAACACATTATTTGACATAATTTACCAAAGCTCAGTAATATGACCTCAAAACTGAGTGAAAACAATCAAACCCCTCAATATTGTACAATTTCACTTTTTTGTATAATAATCAGAGTTATTTGCTAATAAGAAGGCTGAAAACTATGGCAGTGAGAAAAAAAAAGCACAAGGTATTAAAAGCCACCAATTTTAAAGACATGTATGTATTCATATCAGTCTGTTCATTAGCTATTTTCAAGACCCTACACCTCAGTAGTTTTCTTTCTGTTCTCCAAATATTAAAAATTGGGTATTATTTTCATCTCCATCTATTTTTTTAAATTCCATGCATCCACCGGAATGCTAAAACAAGTTTTTTTTAAAAAAACTATTTTTAGAAGTGGGGGGGGCACCTGGGTGGTTGAGTCAGTTAAGCATCTGCCTTCAGCTGGGGTCATGATTCCAGGGTCCCGGGAAGAGCCCTGCATCTGGTTCCTTGCTCAGCAGGGAATCAGCTTCTCCCTCTTTCTCTCTCTCTCTCTGCTCCTCCCCCAACTCATGCTCCTGCTCTCTCTCTCACCTTCGAATAAATAAAATCTTAAAATAAAAAAAATTTTTAGAAGGGCAAAAGTATGCCCATTAAGAAATATACAACCAAAAGTCAAATAACGCACATATGCTTACTTACCTTGAAAGGTTTGTCTCCACTATGTGTCAGCATATGCCTCTGTAACCAACTCTGACTGGTTGACGGAGTGTTATATACTTTACAACCTTTCCATAAGCAAACAAATACCTGTTAAAAGAAGAGCCATAATAATTTTCATCACTTATTTCAACAGTTTTATTCCTTGTAAGTTCAAATGAACATGTTGCATTAGAACCATTAATGCATGAATCAATCAAAAAGGCTTAATAGTTAAACTTTCTGAACTTCCGGTATGAGAGATATGGTTTTAAACCCTTTCCCTGTAAGGCCACTGTCCAATTCCTTCAATGAGAACGACAAACCAATCCCAAGATGTCATTCAGAAGGAAATATACAAAATATTAACAACATATCCCTAAGAGCTATGACTATACACAATTATTTTTAGAACAAGCATTATTAATTAGAAATACCAGGAAAATATAAGGGTATAAAGAAACAATGAAAATAAATCAAAATAATCAAATATTAATTGAAGATGGAACTTCAAAAAATGAGTAAAGCTATTAAATTACCAAATTAAATTTTTCTGCTCTTGATTCCTTATTCTCACATGCATACTAATACTTATTTTTACATTGTTCTATTCATTAAAAATTATTTCCACTTATCTTCATTATAAAGCAAAATCTAATACAAAATGTTAAATTAAACAAATGCAAAAGCAAATGGGCATAAACTGCTCCATAATCATGAAAGACCGACATACTTGGATTCACATAATTGAGTATGATTGGGATTAGAAAGTACTAATCTAACAACTAACAATCTAATCTTTATCATCTTACTAATAAAATATCAATTTTCTAACATATTTCCATCAAACTGAACATTGAAAACTGTACCCCAACATCAGTAAAAGTATGAATCCATTGTAATCATAATCTTCAAAGAATCATTAATAGGCTCTGCTCTTTTCTAAGGAAGAGCCATTATAAATAGAGCCACACTTTGAAGACTACACATCTAATAGAATGAACTTGGAGACAGGACTGAAAAACAATCATTAAAGAGTTTAAAATACACTTTTTTTTTTTTTTTGGAGGGGGGAGAGGAGTGCCTGGGTAGTTCAGTGACTAAGCATCTGCCTTCAGCTCAGGGCATGATCCCAGGGTCCAGGGATTGAGTCCCGCATTGGGCTCCCCAGGGGGAGCCTGCTTCTCCCTCTGCCTGTGTCTCTGCCTGTTTCTCAAATAAATAAATAAAATCTTTAAAAAAAAAAAAAAAATATATATATATATATATATATATATATATATATTGGGGGGAAGGGCTGCCTGGGTGGCTTAGCGATTTAGCGCCGCCTTCAGCCCAGCGCAGGATCCTAGGGACCTGGGATTGAGTCCCTAGTCAGGCTCCCTGCATGGGGCCTGCTTCTCCCTCTGCCTGTGTCTCTGCCTCTCTCTCTCTCTCTCTGTCTCTCATGAATAAATAAATAAAATCTTTAAAAGAAAAAGAGAAAAAGAAAAAAAAATCTTTTAAAAATAAACTTTTTTTAAAAGTCTAGAAAAATCAGCTATCTTAAAAATAACTGAGTTTTTAGTGATAACTAAAACCATTTTATATCAGGTCTAACAAGGCAATACTGTTATTGCTGTTTGACACGACTATTTAGAGTTATCACATATCCTGATTTTTGTAAAGACTAGCTCATTTCTTTTAGTAAGCAGATACAGAAATCATAACCTTTCCTCCTTCACACTTCAAATCCCTGAGCCTAATGTATGTTTACAAAACAATTCCTCAAGTTACCAGAATTAAAAGCTATTTTTAAAATAAATGCAAAAAAAAAAGAAGAAAAAGAAAGAGAAAGAAAGAAAGAAAGAAAGAAAGAAAGAAAGAAAGAAAGAAAGAAAGAAAGAAAGAAAGAAAGGAAGAAAGTTCTTAAAACTACTCATGTTATGTTGTGGAAATTAGTTCAGTAATGTTTAAAAATCACATACAAATGATTAGTGCTATCTATTTCCTGACTCAAGACTACTTGGGATCCCCGGGTGGCTCAGCGGTTTAGCGCCTGCCTTTGGCCCAGGGCGCGATCCTGGAGTCCTGGCATGGAGCCTGCTTCTCCCTCCTCCTGTGTCTCTGCCTCTCTCTCTCTCTCTCTCTCTCTCTCTTTGTGTGTGTGTGTGTCTATCATGAATAAATAAATAAATCTTAAAAAAAAAAAAAGACTACTAGACTCTGAGTCTTAAATATTCAATTCTCGGGAATCAGAGGTTGATTTAAAATTTCCTCAACAAGCCATACCACATTAAAAAAAAAAAAGCCTTAAAAAGTAACTGGAAACAAAATTAACGTCATTCATGTAATAATTTCTATAACAGTGAAGAGTTCTGCTGTCTTAACTCTTAAATAACATCTGTGCTCAATTATTCTCAAAGAAACAATTAAGGTAAATACTCAAACACTGCCCCTACGTAACATTAGCCAACTATTGTATTTGAGAGAAAACAACAATCTCTGACTTTTAATTTTTTTCCGAGGAATAAATATGAATATGGAGATATGGCACACTGTAATTTCACTGGATAATAGCCTTCACTATGAGTAGGTACGGTCTAGACTCTAGCTGGAATAATGTCTAGTAACACTATTAGAGCAACACCTTCAGGTTCAAAGAAAAACCGTAACTTTCAACCTAATGAATTTTATAGGAAATGAAGTAAGTGTAAAGAGACTGAGGCTAACTATGTTCAGCTATAATGGAGTGAAATATTTGGAAAATAATTCCCAAGGGCAGGGGAAGAGGAAGCACTAACCTTGCACAAGGACAAAAGAGGCACCAGAACTCCACACCAAGGATCCACAAAAACCACAAAACTGTTTAAAAGCTGAATTTCTTTTCCTAATCTATGTTAAAAAGACACTTTGATAAAAAAAAGAGTTCAAACTCTGGCAAAAGGATCATCTTCAAACTTGAGAGTTTTTAGAGGCACAATATGTGAAAAATTGTTTTCATACCCAATTTTTAGAAACTGTCTCATTATAAAAATTAACCCTGAAAACTGACCAAACACCACTGGAATCCAATCCAAATGTGAAAGGAATTATTCAAGAATAAAATCTGTTGGGACGTCTGTGTAGCTCAGCAATTTAGCACTGCCTTTGGCCAGGGTGTGATCCCAGAGTTCTGAGCTCGAGTCCCACATCCAGCTCCCTGCAAGGAGCCTGCTTCTCCCTCTGCCTGTGTCTCTGCCTCTGTGTCACTCATGAAAAAATATTTTTTAAAAAATAAAATCTGTCATTCCTCTATATTATCTTAAAATGAATTAAGCTTTAGCAATACTAATCAGAATGCTGAGGCACAGAGGTTCATAGTGTACCCTGTCATGATAGATTTATATTAGGTTTGTAATTAGAGGTAACAAAATTAGGGGTGCCTGGGTGGCTTAGTCAGTTAAGTGTCTGTTCATGACCTCAGGGTGCTGAGATCGAGTCTGGGGGTCGGGCTCTGTGCAGAATCTATTTGAGAGATTCTCACTTTCCCTCTCCATCCTCCCTCCTCCTCCTGCTTATGTGCTCTCTCATAAATAAATAAAATCTTAAAAAAAAATGTATAGAAATAGCACGAAAGTAAATGATCTGAACTCTAACCCAGAGCTTTCACACTTTGCAGTGATGTAATCATGGAAGATACTTATCTAAGCCTTTATTTCCTTTTTCATCAAACACTGTGAGCACACATTTGCTAACTCCAAAATATGATGAAATGCAAGATGATATATTCTTTCAGTAGGACTATTTAACAGAAAAATTGGGTTTATGTTAATTGGAGGTCCCTTCTCAAAATTAACTGCCACCAAATTTTTCTGCCCGTCTGTCTTAAAGAAAAGAGAGAGGAGAGAAGATGTAGTTATTAAAAGAATCTTTAAATGTGTAACAATCTAACTTATAAAGATGTAGCGGTCTAAATTTCAATGTACAAGGAAGTTTGGGCTTTCAATCGAGAAGCCCTATAGAAAACCTTTCTCATTACTGTCAGAATAGGTCAATTTTACTTTAAGGGAAGTCCTTCAAAATGCCCCAAATGAAAAAGACTGATACAACCCTGGGAACCAAGGCCAGTGTAAGTCTCCCTATCTAGTTACTAACATCTCACTCTTGGAAGTATAAAAATGAATCCAACAAAATTTTAAGTAAATTGTAAAATCTACTGCAAACTTGACAAAATCTAAGTATGTATAAGGAAAATTCAGTTAGTAGTAAGGTAAATTAAAATCACCAAGTATATTCTAAGTAGAGCTGGTAGGCAACATAATTTACAAGTAGGCAAGAGGAGAGGGGCTGGTTTTACCAAAGAATTTTTGTATGAATTAAAATCATACAAAAGGATTTTATATAAAGCAAGAGATACACCATCTAAATTCAAGGTGTTGAATGATCCCTTAAGCTTTAATATTTCTTAGGAAAAAAAAAACCATCTCACTCTTTTACAAAATGTTTGAACAAAATATTTTAATATGTAATTATTTTGTCTCAAATCAGTTTGCTCTTCTAAGACCTAAAATGACAGTTATAATTCTGTATCCTACTATTCTGAGTCACATTGAGTATTTTCAATTTTCTGTTAAAGCATATTTACTAAGACAGAGAACAAAAATATTTAATAGAACACTCAAATTACATGAATTAAGCATTTCTCCTTTATTACAAAATATATGACCAATTTCATGTTGTGTTCAGGAGATACCAGATAGGCAATCAAAACTCAATGTAAGGGGCACCTGGGTGGCTCAGTGAGTTAAGTGTCTGCCTTTGGCTCAGGTCATAATCCTGGAGTCCTGGGACCAAGCCCTGTATCAGATTCCCTGCTCAGCTGGGAGTCTGCTTCTGCCTCTACTCCTCACCCCACTCATGCTAAGAGATTAATAAAATCTTAAAAACCAAAACAAAACAGCCTCAGTGTGACCTCCTAAGACTGATTTCACTTTCTAGTAACATTCCAATTTAACCCTGAGTGTCTACAAATGTCATTTTATATGGCATATAAAAGTAAGTGACTTCATTCAAGTCTTTGAATATCAGCCCTCTCCCCAAATCTTCCTTGGGCCCTCTGCCCTCAAACACCAAAGAATATATATAAAAATGAACTTAATAAAATGACATGTGCAAAATAATTCCTGCATCAAGAAACACATTTTTTTCTGACAACTGTTTTTAAAGTGAGAAATAGTTAAAACAGAAAGAACAGAACACTAATGGATTGTTACTGAACCACTGAAATCCTACAAGACGAAGTTTCCTGCCTACCAAGTCTTCAGTGTAAATTAAGAGGACACGGGGATTTGAGATTTGATTAGTAAAATAGCTCAGCCTAGGTTTTGAAATCCAGTCATGCATGCAAGTATGGACCCAAGAACACAATTCTACTATACCTAACAAAAAAGGTTAAAAAATTTGTTTTGCTTCTTTCTCCTTATATTTTTAAATAGTAGAAAACACTTTCAGGAGTCTTCTTTAAAAAGGTACATTCAGGGGTACCTAGGTGGCATAGTCGGTTAAAAGTGTCTGACTCCTGGTATTGGCTCAGGTCATGATCTCAGGGTGGTGAGATCAAGGCCCTCATCAGGCTCTGTGCTCAGCACGGAGTCAGCTTGAGACTCTCTTCCTCTTCCTGTGCCCCTTCCCCCCAAAATAAATCTTTAAAAAAGTAAAAGTTACATTCACAATTGGTATTTATATAGTTAGTTTAACTTTTGAAATAGAAGATTCTACCCATTTTAATACATAAAAAGGTCAGAAAAGGCTAACCTATCCAATTTCAGCCTCTAAATGTAATTATAGTCCATGTGACATGGCAACATAAAAAGCTTAAAGAGGGGGAAAGAAGTTTTCTAAGCTGTTACATGATGGTTTTGTTTTCCCACAGTGACTATCATAGTGGGATGAGAACAAGAACAGGAATTAATATAGTATTTAGATCTTACTAACTTACTGCTCCAATAAAACTGTCATCTTTTAATAATATGCTTTAAGAAGCATAAAATCCTCTAGAGGTACCAATATTTTCCTCATTTGTTTCTGTTCCATCAAGACAGTTTAACACTTGGGGTAGAAGTAATAAGAAGAATTTTTTTTTTTTAAGAAGAAATCTTAAGAAGAGATCAAAGAAATCTTAAAAAAATTGTCTTGAAATTAGCTGTTTTCCACATATATGAGATATCTACAGCAGTCAAAGTTACGAAAACAGAAAGTAGAATAGTGGTTACTAGGTGCTGGGGAGAATTAGGAAGTTATTGTTGAATGGGTAGATTTCAGTTTTGAGATATTGAAAAAATTCTAGAGATGGACACAGATGATAGCTGTACGACAATGTGAATGTATTTAATGCCACTGAACTGCACACTTAAAAACATTTACAATTTTTTTTAATTTTCTTTAAAGAGGCCATTAAAAAAAAATGTCCAAACAACACCCACTCTATTTTAAGCACAAAACCAGATCAAGATTTCCTGTTACATAGCTGTGTATAGTTTTCAGAGTTTCATTCATACTTTCGTTCTGAAAGCTTAGTCTATATACCAATGACTGGTATGTAAAAAAAATCTGAATGTATTTTCTCCATTCCTCTGATTCTTTAACATTTGTAGTTCAGCAACTAATGTCCTTCAAAGATCAGGCCTTCTTTCTGTGGTCAAAACAGCATTAATCTTAAAATTAGCTAGACAATCTTACTATTCATAATAAAATAATTTTATGAATAAGTATAAAGCAGGGGGACAGGTTCATTTCAGCAAGTTTACACTTATTGTAAAAATACCAAGACTTCATGCCTAGCTCTTTGATATCTATAAGGTAAACATAGCAGCAGTGATTACAGGATACATTCAGTCTGCACCTCCATTTTTTTCTACAGATCCTTAAAGGGCTGAAAACATTCTCATAAGGCTGTGTACTCAACACGTAGGATCCAACGCTTAGAAATATGAAGTTCTCTAATGCCTACCAGAGATGCCCAATAATCTATATAGTTCATGACCCTATATACAGCTAAATCAAGTGACTAAAAAAGCATCATGCCATGGCTCAAAAGGCTATCTTAGTGATACATACCAAGTGACATCAAGCACTGCCTCACAAAAGGCAACTCTGTGATAACTAGGAAACCGACTTGGTTAAGATAGTTCACACAAAATCTGATACATGTGGTAAGGGAAAAGACTATTACAAAAGTAACCTAACCATTGAGCAGGGCTGGGTTAGGAGGTAAAAATAACATATGATGGGCAAAGTTCATTAATGCACAATCTGTCATCAAAATCAAATCTAGTAAGTCAAATCTTACCAAATTTAAGTAATCAAAAGATTGCTGACACATTACAACATATTGTGACAATGGCAAAGTTTTCTTAAAAGAAATTTCAATGCGCAAGTAACACTAGTTAAAATATTAGAGGTGCTTATATGGCTGCGTGTTTTGTTTTTTTTTTTAAAGAAGATCAATAATGCAACCTAAATATCAACGCAACCTTGGAAATAGTTACCCACTCACTTAAACCATAATGATCTTAACCATTTTAGTATCAGTTTATCTCAATAGTGGTGGCAGGCTGATAGGAAATATGTGGCCTAAGAATTATGTGTACTTACAATGTGACATTAATTTCTGGAAAATGCACTAACGTGGTAACTATTCAAGACAAACCTAGTGAAGTCGAAAAAAATTATAACCTTATAATACTTTGATCCATTACACTGACTCACCTAATCTACTTAGCTCTTAATTCACTATCCAATAAAAATTATATAAACTGACACATTTAAATGTATTCCCAAAAGGATATAGGTCAATACTCACTAATCATAACTTTCTGTCTAAGCCAGCTCTGTTAAGACCTGGGAAAAGGTGATCAATTCACTTTCACAAATAATGAGTACAAGCTGTAATTTCACAGAACTGTATATATTAATCCTGGTACCAACAATCTCTCCAGTTAATTTCACCATCAGGGATAATTTAAGACCACTCTATCAAGAGAAATCCTAGCTGTCCTCAACTCAAAACATCACAAACTTGGAATAGGCTGTATTCATTTATTATATTCCCACTATATTTTAGGAAGTCTAATTTCTTCTAAAAGCAAATTAAACTCCAACACACAATATGTTCTATTTGATTCAATCAAGTATGTGGGAAATAAATACAAAAGCTTTTTAAAAAATAGAGCCTGTGTAAAAACAATCCCAAATTACTTTGAGAAAGAAAGCCTAACTAGCATGAATAAATTAATAAAACTAATGAAAACAGGGAGTGAAAAAAAGAAATGACAAAACCAACCCCTCCTCGCTGACCATCTACATGTATGGAACGGATGTGATCGGCCAGGTCTGGGCTAGAGTTGAAGCAAGCCTGGCACTGGTCCCAACAACAATTATAGGCAATATTTTTGCTTGAAGAAGTAGTGCTTCCTTGTCCATTCATCATTGCTGGAGTTGAACGCCCACTGGAAATTGTGCTGTCTACATCCATTATAGTACTGCTTATGCTACAAAAGAAGAAAAAAGGCTGTGTTATTCCTAGAAATTCACTAACATGAATATGATCTTATAAATACTCAATTAAGATTACTACTTGACATTATGCTCCATATAAAGCATACTGACCATATTTTCTATTAGAAAACAACATGGTTTTGAGATGATTGTTGGCAATAAAGTGCAAATCAAGGGAAAAGCCTCAAAACAGGGAAGAGATAATTTAAGCAACTTTGGCAGACACGAACTCCCCAATGCTACAATCTACAGAAAACAAACCAAACACAAACACACACACACAGCTCAACACATTTCATCCCTTCCATAGTTCTAAGCAGCACAATAAACCAACAGAGTAACAGTTTCCAGCTATAAATAATTCAGAATCAAGAGTACCTTTACAGTATAAATCACTTGTTAATCCAAATCTTTTCTTCTATTCACTAATCTGAGGCTACAACTTCTTGTCTTATCCTACCTCTTTCTACCTCAAGTAAGTTTGGGAAATTGTGTATTTTCCCTTCTAAATAAAAAAACAGAACAGACAAAACAGTACAATAAAGTTTTCCTGATTTTGCTAAGTCCAAATAAAATATCTTTTTCTGGCCCTCAACTTTTTTAAACTCACAATCCACAAAAGAGGTCTGAAAAGCCAATCAATCAATTCTTTTTATTTTTTTTTATTTACTAAAAGTATTACATATTAGTTATCCTTTTAATAAGAAAATTATATATTAGTAGAAATAGAAGTAATTCTGAATGCTCAAAATTTCAAATCTTAGTAAAATGTAACACACTTTTCCTTTTCAAAGTAATTCATTTAGGGGCACCTTGCTGGCTCAGTTAGTAGAGTATGTGACTTGACCTCCCGGTTGTAGGTTCCAGCCCCACACTGGGTGTAGAGATTACTTAAAAATAAAATCTTTAGAGGTGTCTGGTTGGCTCAATTGGTTAAGTGTCCAACTTAGCTCAGGTCATCCTAATTTTTTTTAATCAAAAACAATTCATTAAAAAAATTATTTTCAGTATCTTCCCAATACAGAAATTACAGGGAAGTAGCTTCAACCACGGAGGGGTCAACAGTCAACAACAAGAATGTTTGCAGGCTAAATGAATCAAAAGCAATGTACCTGTTTACAATTTAAGTAATTTTTGAAAACTGTATTAACTTTTAAGAAATATGCTTCCCTACTCCCAAGCTTTTATTACAGAAAGCTTAACAATTTACATTTTGTCCTATTTGTTTTAATTTGTTTTTCTCAATTATCTGCAAATTGCAAACATGATACTTCAACCACAATTATTTCAGCATATACCTTCTAAAAATAAGAACATTTACCTCTAACCACAACCTTATTTGCTCATACATAAAAGCCAAAATAAATTTTAACTTATTGGGGTGTCTGGGTGGCTCAGTCAGTTAAGCATTTGCTTTGGGCTCAGGTCATGATCCCAAGGTTCTGGGATCGAGCTCCACATTGGGTTTTCTGCTCCACGGGGAGTCTGCTTCTCCCTCTCCCTCTGCCACTCCTCCTGCTTGTGCTCTCATGCTCTCTAACAAATAAAATCTTTTAAAAAAATTTTTTAACTTACTGTTTTGTTTTTCCTTCCCCCACTTATTAAGTATGCTTAATAATGATGAGTTCTAACATCCAAAGCACATATTTTAAAAAACTAGCAAAAATGTTTTCATATGATATTTTAGACATAAAAAATGTCTAAGATTTTCCTTTAAAGAATATCCACATAAGTTTATCTGGCTACCAGTCAATATGTAAGTTCTAAATTTAAACTCTGTGGGGCAGCCCGGGTGACTCAGTGGGTTAGCACCGCCTTCAGCCCAGGGCATGATCCTGGAGACCCAGGATCGAGTCCCACGTCGGGCTCCCTGCATGAAGCCTGCTTCTCCCTCTGCCCGTGTCTCTGCCTCTCTGTGTCTCTCATGAATAAATAAATAAAATCTAAATAAATGAATGAATGAATGAATAAATAAATAAATAAATAAATAGATAGATAGATAAATAAATAAATAAATAAATGAATGAATGAATAAATTTAAACTCTAAAACTTAGGGCAGCCCAGGTGGCTCAGCAGTTTAGCACCTGCCTTCGCCCCAGGGCCTGATCCTGGAGACCCCGGATCGAGTCCCACGTCAGGCTCCCTGCATGGAGCCTGCTTCTCCCTCTGCCTGTGTCTCTGCCCCTCCTCCCCATGTCTCCCATGAATAAATAAAATCTTTAAAAAAAAATAACTCTAAAACTTTGGAGCAACTGGGTGACTCATTGGTTGAGCATCTGCTTTTGGCTCAGGTCATGATCCTGGGGTCCTGGGATTGAGTCCCATATCAGGCTCCCTTTGGGAAGCGTGCCTCTCTCCCTCTGCCTATGTCTCTGATGAATAAATAAATCTTTCAAAAGTAAAAAATAAAATAAACTAAAACTTTGTAAACTTGGGGCACCTGGTTGGCTCATTCAGTAGAGCATGAAATTCCTTTAAAAAAAAAAAGATTTATTTATTCAGAGAGAGAAAGAGAGACAGAAACACAGGCAGAGGCAGAAGCAGGCTTCATGCAGGAAGCCTGACGTGGGACTTGATCCCGGGTCTCCAGGATCACATCCTGGGCTGCAAGCGGCGCTAAACCACTGTGCCACCGGGACTGCCCAAATTCCTTTTTTTTTTTTTCTTAAAGATTTTATTTATTCATGAGAGACAGAGAGACACAAAGAGAGGCAGAGACACAGGCAAAGGGAGAAGCAGGCTCCATGCAGAGAGCCCGATGTGGGACTCCATCCCAGGTCTCGAGGATCACACCCCAGGCTGAAGGCAGCACTAAACCGCTGAGCCTGCCTGGGCATGAAATTCTTGATCTCAGGGTTGTTACTTCAAGCCCTACACTGGATGTAGACATTTTTTTTTCTTTTGTAATTTCCATTGAACTCTCAAATGCAAATCAGCTCTTGAATCGCTGAATATTTATTGATATTTATTTTGGCAGGAATAAATTGTGAGTATGGCAGTTTTTCTATACTGAAATGCATATTTTCATTTGAGCCTTAGAAATTCCAAGTTTCATGAGACCCTTAACCATGAAATGGTTGGTTATCTATTTTCCTTATCCCTTGTTTCATATATTTTAAAACATTTTAACAATAAATCTCATACTTTTGTAAACCATACCAATTAACTCTAAAGGCAAATAAAATTTTAAGTTTTAAGTGAACAACCAACCACATTCAAATTATAAACAATCTTAGGGGATGCCTGGGTGTCTCAGTGGTTGAGCATGTGCTTTCGGCTCGGGGCATGATTCCAGGGTCCCCAGATCTTAGGAAAAGAGAGAAATCTCAATGACCTATTGTGATACAATCTCTAAGGTACAGCAAAGTATTAAAAAAAAAAAACATATACACACACAAATGCAGGGTAGTAATGCTCCAATTTCCATACCTAGATCAGGGAGAGAGACAATATAGACACAACTATAGTCTAAAGAAAAAACTTCTTTTGAAAGATACACAAAACACTGTCCATGTTTTTTTGGATGGGGGAACAGAGGGTCAGTAGGAGAGAAACTTTCACTATATACATCTTTCATTTAATTTTTAATAGGATACCTGTATTGCTACAGGTAGTAAGTCCAAAATTAGTTGAAAATGAAACTAATTTTCTCCTTAGACAAAGTAAAGGTCAAGAGACTTCTACTTGTAATAGATCCAACTAGCAATATACACAACTGTATATAAACTAGCAATTGGGGATCCCTGGGTGGCACAGCGGTTTGGCGCCTGCCTTTGGCCCAGGGCGCGATCCTGGAGACCTGGGATCGAATCCCTCGTCTGGCTCCCGGTGCATGGAGCCTGCTTCTCCCTCTGCCTATGTCTCTGCCTCTCTCTCTCTCTCTTTCTGTGTGACTATCATAAATAAATAAAAATTTAAAAAAAAATTAAAAAATAAAAAATAAACTAGCAATTGGGGGCAGCCCAGGTGGCTCAGCGGTTTAGCATCGCCTTCAGCCCAGGGCCTGATCCTGGAGACCCGAGATCGAGTCCCACATCGGGCTCCCTGCATGGAGCCTGCCTCTCCCTCTCTGTCTCTCATGAATAAATAAATAAAATCTTTAAAAAAATAAAAAATAATCTAGCAATTGTTATACACAATGCTTAATGTACTTTTGCTTATTAATTTTACCACAGAAGGGGAACCTTGTAAGTCCAAATATCCATAAACACATTAATAAGCACACTTGAAACACAGTACTTCAGGTAAATACAGATCCTCATAAAAAGATAGCATAATGCTGATATTAAGAACATGAATTGTCGATCACTGGCAACTAAGCTGCAAATATGGTGAAAGAAGACTAAGGCACTGGTCCCATGACCTAGAAGACTCAAGAGACCTTTGCAGATGTGTGTATCCAAAGAGCCTCCCATTCCCTAGCAGGGCCAACTGGAGCCCTGTCACATATAGACCCTCTTAGGTTCCTCCAACTTCTAAAAAGTGCCCAAATCCTACATCCCCAGGCTCCCTCTGGCCCCAGACACATTTGTAATCCATGGTTCCTTCCATTCCTAAGACTGATAAAGACAAAAGACAACAGTTCTGATGCAGAAGAGCACAGGAGACAAGTTGTAGCTAATTTTTATTTTGACAGGACACTGAGCTAGCTATAGATCTCGGAAGAAAGCAGTGCCCTCCTCCTTCTTCCTATAACAGGAAGATAACAAGATGATCTGAACTAGAAAAGGACATTCCACTTGACCCTGTAATATTCCTAGGATCATACGTGTTAAAATTTTTCACTCAATTAGGTCTTCCCAGTGAACACCTATTGATTCTATAAAATGTGAACAAAAGCAGCCTAGTATTTGGACAAAAACAGAAGCCAGAAAAAGCACTCTTACTATTCAGATAACTACAATAATGTAAGCAGTACTTCTCAATGTTATATGAATCACCTGGAATCTTACTAAGTGCAGATACTGATTTGGGAGATTCGGGGTAGGGGGT